AAAAAAAAAAAAAAAAAAGAAAAAGAAAGTTGTCAAAAGGTCAAGGAAGGTGGTATCTTTAGACGATAGAGGGACACTTCCCATCTTCAAGGTCAAACAAATAGCTTTGTAGGTTGCTTCCATGGTGTTCATGAATCTACAATTCATACTGCAAGGAAAGCTGAAACTCACTGGGACCAATATTGCCTCTTGCACACCTACATCCCTTAAGAGATGCTTTGCTCCTGATGACCCAAGGTTGGAAGAGATGGAAATCTCTTAAACTTCTGTATTGAAGATAAGCAGGGAGGGGGGAAATGAACCACATTCCATGCAGGGAATCTGTGACCGTGCAAGAGAAATGTTCAACACCGTGTTTTGAGACACAGAACTGGATCTGGAAAATTTCGCAGGGAGCAAGGGAGAATTTGAGCAATGTCAGGTACACATGACCCTGAGACCAAGTTTGATGGGCTGGTGGTGCCAAGGAATGAACCACTAAATGTCATGTCTCCAATGCTGCATCCACCACAATTGCAGAAAGTGGCTGAAGAAGGGGATGTTGTATCTGCACAAATCTTTGGTACTGTAGAGACCATCATACTTTGGAAACCCTGGAATGATCCGACTTGCCATTCGAGAGAGCAAGAGCCAGCTGATACTGAGGTGAGCAAAGTCAGAGAGGCTGACAGGTCTGTTTTGTGCCAGTATTTCAGGTGACTTCATAGTGAAACCATTGCTGCTGTGCAGCAAACTATCCTCATACCTTTTCAGAGGAAACAGATCCTGAGCCAAGTTTCTGCTGTACTGGCAAGCAGACAGAAAAGCCTGGATGAGTCTTCCTCTCCTTCGAGTAGTTTGCACAGTACTTTATGGAAGTTCAAGGTTACTTAAAAGAAAAAAAATCTGGAATTCAAAGTTCTGCTGATTCTTCACAGTGCCTCGGGTACATTTGCCCACGTGTATCATAATGTTGAGGTTGTCTTTATAACGTAGCCACATCTCAGAACCTTGATCCTGGAGATCATTATTTGATCTGGCCATTTAGGAAGACTTACACTAAACTAATATATAATGTTGTTGTTGTTGTTTCAAAATCTTCAAGTTTCCTCTATCTGAAGATCCTAGTGCAGGAGATTCTTACACGATGACTAGTGCTGCATTCTTCATCAAAGAGGCATTGTATAGTTTAACGAAGCTTGTCATTAATGTGACCTGGGAGAAGATTTGGCAAGAGATGGTGATCCCTTCCAAAGACAAAGAATCTTTGGATCAAGAAGAACCTAATGATGAGGGTGAACATTTGGTGCAGTAGTAATTATTGGCTGAAATTGCATCTGACCTTGTTGACATTAATTCACATGATGTGCTGATGCTAGAGGATGAGCCTCAGGAAGCTTCCAGTAACCCAGAGGTGATTATCATGAGTGATAAATAAGGCAAGTAGGATGTTATCAGACTGAAGACAAGTACAGTTAGAAGCAACAGGAGCAAATTTTGTTAGAACAAAATAAGAAAACCTCCCAAAGAAAGTAATGAGTAAAACCTCCCAAAGAAAGTAATGAAAATGGGCATCTTTACCAGGCAAACCTTACCTGTTGGAAGCTTGAGCAATTTCGCAGCATTCTATAAAGAAGTGCTATGGTGTCTTCAAACACAATCACATTGGACAGAAACCACCTTCATCAGAACGTAAAGCATCAAGAGCTGTGTAATAGCATGGCTTGACAGCTGATAAGACTACCTTGAAACGAAGCTTGAATGATTTCATTGGATTCTATAAAGAAAAGTTTTTAATGCTTAAAAAAACATATCAGGAAGAAAGCAACCTCTGAAAAGTCTCAGTCATCAAGTAGTGCACTTAAATACCTTATTGGACAGCAGATAAGCTGCCTTCAGACAAATGTTGAATGATCAAATTGAACTCCATGTAGAGGGCTAGCTAAGATGTCTTTGAAAAAGAAGATAGAAGCATCTTCAGAACAGCCAAAGTCATTAAGCAGTAACCCTTAAATTCTCTCACTTGATAGAACTAAAGCCACAAGCAAGTTGGTACAACTTCAGGTACGGACTTCAGTGACTCTGAGAGCATAGACACCTAGGATTTCAAATACAGTTCACGTCTATTCATTGCCTCTCCATCACTCCCATTTTCTTTCAACTACCATAATGAGTGACAGATACATCCTCATCGCCACCGGAAATCATCTCAGAAACTAAATGGAAATTTAAAGCTTGTCATTTTTCTCAGTTTCTACCCCATAAACACTCATTCTTTTTATGTAATGTGCTATTATTATTTTATTTAATTGTACATTCTAATATTCACGAGGGCTTTCAAAAGTTTACTTGTGACCTCATTCCTCCTGCCCATTTTTTTTTTCCTTCTAAAACCATGATCTCCTCAGTTGAACTCTTCTACCTTGGGGGTTTTCAGGAACTTGACCTTCATGGGTAGGAAGGATTACTGGTTCTATGTACCTATTACCTCTTAGTGACTGCTTGACTTACACTAGACTTGGGCTCCAGAGACCTGGGTTCATGTCTAGCTCTGTCATTCATTATTGTGATTTCCAGTCACTTAGCTTCTCTGAGCCTTCGTTTCATCACGTGTTAAATGAGAATAATCATACCTGGCCTAAGTCATGAGGTATGTGTGATAATCAAATACAATTCTGAGTAACAGAGTACTAAATAATTCTGAGATGTCATTACATTTGTAGCCTTTTGGAGTTTTTGTGACTACTAAAAAACTAGATTTTTGAATTCTTATTTCTTTTTTTAAATGACTTCCTTACCTTGAATTTATGTCAATGATAGAAAATTACAGAAGGAAACTAAAATTGCTCATAATGTCACAAACGTAAGGTAACCGAATTGGTATTTTTCTTTTAGTCCCTCTTCTCATTATATAGACATTGTTTATCAATGTGAAAAACTTAGAAAATAAAGATAAGCCATACAGGAAAAAAATAAAAATTATCCATAATCACAAATCCAAGAAACCATGTTAGCGTTCTGGTGGATTTTTTTTTAGACTTTTTCTATGCCTGTATATGCACATATATAATTTTCATACACTTAAGATCATAATATATACAGTTTTATATCCTGTTTTTTACTTAACATTTTATCATGAATATTCTCTATTTTCAAAAATATGATTTTTGATAGTATGTAATATTTTACTGTAGGGTGGCATCATGGTTTATTGAACCATTTCTTTTTGTTGGCTATTTGGGGTCCTTTCCAAATTTTGCATTGTAAATAATGTTGCAATGTCTATTTCATTACTTAAACGGAACTATTTGCTTTGGCGATAGCAGAGGGTTTTTTTCTGTGCATTATTCTTTGTTGTTTTTTGTTTGTTTTGTTGTTGTTGTTGTTGTTGCAGTTGTAATTGCCATTTTAGCTGGCTGGGGCTGGGTTCAAACCAACCACCCTCAGTATATGGGGCTGGCACCCTACCTACTGAGCCATAGGCGCTGCCCTGTTTATTTATTTATTGTTTGTTTGTTTTGTTTTTAAGAAATCCTTTTAATAGCTTCATTTCATGGACCAAATGAAACTTCGAGAGCCAGGTAGAAGCAAAATAAGAAGTAGTAAATGTGATTTCAAGCTCTACCTTTATTGGAGACTCTTCTAGGAGCTGAATCTTGGGGTTAGCGAAATTTAGGAGGGATAGTTAGACACCATTTTATGATACTTTACTATAGAAAAGTTTTCAGGGTTTAGACCAGGAAAAGGACATCCCGAATAAGTGGTTTGATTTTATTGTATGGACCCTGCGAAGTGTGGGGCTGATCAGATCTCTCTTTTGTTGGCTACTAGAAAGATTGGAGCCCAATGTGTGGTCCATGCATAGCACTTGTAATGGGACTCTGTGGTATGTATGCACCTTGTGTGAGCTTTCTTCCAGGCGCCATTGTGTGTCTCTGTCTTTGTTTTTTATCCTTGTTTTTTCCTCTTACTTTCTTACCTACTTGGAATTTAT